GGAAGAGCAATGGAAGGAGCAACTTCTTGTTCGCATTAAACAAATGCAGAACAAAGATCCATAGAGTTTTTAAGTTGCAACATAGTCACCAGATTGCATCCATACAACATACAAAAGGTTGAAATTTTTATTATCTGCTGCACATAATGAGCAGTATATATACCTGGAATTATTCAAATAATTTATTACAATGTTAAAAGATGTGAAAACATAATCAAGCACTAGTCATACATATTTTAGCATTTAAATATTAATAAAGTGTTTGATTTTTATATTAATTAGGTTAAGGAATTTTGAATAAAGTTTAAGCATTATCTCATTAACTTATAAGATATGCAATTGCGATGTGACAGGAAAAAAAAAATCAAAATGTATTAGTCATACAAATTATAAAGAATATTATTATTTTTGCTTTTTTTGTTTGATATATTGTTCGGAAACAGTTTATAAATATATGATATAGTTGGTTAATCAATAAACATCGCTCGATATGATATCGTGCTCATAGTGTCAATGAAACATACATGATATCTTATTTTAATACTATTATAATGAAATCTGAATTTATTATTAAATCGTTTACATCCCATTGCGCTTAAATCTTTTTCTTATTAATGTTTTATAGTTCATCATATATGTAATATCCATTGAAGAAGGCACAATACGATTTTATAACTCGAACTCCGTATCGATGGCAGCAGCTTTGGCTGGATTGAGATTTTTTCGTAAGGCAGCAACATCGTCTTCTATTTTTATCAATTTCCGAAATTTCTAAAAAGAAATAAGTAAGTTACAAAGTTTCGCGAGAATAGTCTATTCTTTCGCGTAATATTATATACTTCTGAGGTAGTTCCGGATGTAACATTCCAGATGTAAATCATGTAGCCCGGAATGCACAACATCGAGGAGAGACCTGCGAGCCACCCCAACAAGTGACTCCACCATGGAAATTCGTACGTGAGATATTTCACAGGAACAAACTTGATGATATTAAAGATGAAAACGCCCTATATATATATAAAGGGTAATAAAATAATGTGTATATATACATATAAATTATATTATCCTAAATCACATCTCGTCGAGACAAATTAAAAAGAGAGTCACCACGCAAATGGCAGGCGTGGTAAACGTCCAGCATATTTTCCACCAGAAGCAGGGGTAATAGCCTATCATATCCCGTATACCATCGTAAAATCGATCCACCCCGAATGCCCACGACACTGCGATGCATTCAAAGAACATCAGGAATAGCAGACAAAATCCGCTCACGGCGTACGTATCCAGGAGTTGAAACACGTACATCCCGCCCTAAATAAAAAAGATTAACGCGTTAGATCATTGAAACGAATGACTAAATTCTTTATTCAAAAAACACAGAGTTGAATAAAATGAGATATTTATTAGAAACAACAGAGATATTTATTAGATATTACGCAGTGTACATACACACATGCCAAATATATACTTACTTCCGTAACGCACAAAAGCCCGACTAGATAGGAGATTAGGCATACGATCGCGATGAATGTTTCCTTCCGTTTTCTGAGAAACCGCGGCCATTCATCCACGGCGGCGGTGATAAAGCCCTCCATGGTGCAAAACTGGAGAATACGACTTTTTTAAATATTAACATTAATCCACGATAATTTAGTGAAATAATAAATTTCGATCCTTGGATTCAACGAATCTTACATTACCTGACTATCCAATCCTATTAGAAGGAGCATGAAGAAGAATAGACTTGACCAAATCGATGCCCCCGGTAATTGTAATACCGCCGAGGGATAAACTAAGAATGCCAGACCAGGTCCTAGTCGAAATGACGGATGTAAATTATTATTGCGTTGCCATAATATTGAAAAAGATAAAGAAGATTAATTACCAGAAGCAGCTACGTCGGCTACAGGTTTCTGTTGCTCGTGGGCCATAAAACCAACTACGGAGAATATGACTACTCCGCTAAGCAGACTGGTACAAGTATTCACTCCACATACAATGAGAGCATCTCTGTAATATATATCTCGATAAATTTATTAAATTTATATAATAGACTTCACAAAACAGACTTGGATATTCTATATATTTTATGGTAAAGTGGAAGGAAATATAGAGAAATTACACTTAACACGAGATTCAGTAGCAAGCACATATGGTAGATACAATAATTAAATTTGCTGTTTCTCACACAATAGAAAAAAAATGCTTACTTATAAACGTTATTGTTGAACTTGTTGTAACTACCAAGAGCTACCAACGCACCTAAACCGAGAGCGTAAGTGAAGAATATTTGTGTCACCGCGTCTATCCATACCTATATATGGCATAATTATGAATGTAATAATTATATTCTGATCTAGCTATATATATTAATTATAAATTAATAATATAACAATATTACCTCGGGATCACCGAGTTTTGAGAGATTCGGTGTAGCGTAATATTTCAAACCTTCCACAGCACCGGGTAGCGTCAGACCTCTCATGAGCAGCACCGCCAACAAGGCATACGGGAAGAGTGCCGTGAAATAGACGACCTATTTTACATCGCGTATGTAATTCATATAGCTTTATGTTCGAAAGCGAAGAACGAGGATTTGATTCTGCAAGACTCCGCTATACCTTGCCGGTCCATTTGACGCCTTTCCAGATGCAAAAGTAGCACATGATCCACACGACCGCGAGCGTGCCAGCTAATTCCCATCTTATACCACCCACGGCTTCGATGCCAGTTGAAATCTGCAGAGTCCGTCTCCTTTTTGCGACAGAAAATATTTATAGAAAATTATTAATTAATTGAAGTATGAAAAAAACTTAGTAACTTACTCCCAAAATTCCTTGACCGGGTCCTTCAGCAGCTCATGACTCAAATTCCCGAGAGGCGTGGCGCACGTTATGTTGTTCGGCCTGTGATCATCCTTCCAGCATGAAACGTTCAGACGTTCATCTGGCGTAATGCAGTAGCGTGTGTTCCACGAGTTGTCGCACGTTCTCCAGGGTACGTCTGCGCAAAATTTATATCAGATGTAACAATTTCTCTATTTGATTTTATTATATAATCTGACGATTAAATAATAAAATTGATTAAATAATAAATTGAGTTTTTAGAGAGAAATATCAGAGTATATCGAAATGCTTTGAATGTTGTATGCTCACCAGCTCGTAAAGAAACTAAGAAATAGAAGAGTGCCCAAGCGAGGATAATGATGTAATACACGTTAGTCCAGCAGGAAAGTACGCAAGTCGCATATCCAATGCCTGAAGAAATCAACATTGTCATTACCGTGTTCCGAAAAATGTCCTTACGATGAGACACTTATTAAAACCCTAAGAGTGCTCTGTAAAATCACCTTTAAAGATTGGAGCTATCTTAAAGACACCTAAACCACCTATCGTCAGCATCTGTCCTAAGGACAACTCCATCAGGAACATGGGTATACCAGCCAACGCGAGCGCGATGAAGTAGGGCACCATGAAAGCACCGCCGCCATTCTTATAGCAGAGGTAGGGAAATCGCCACAGGTTCCCCAAACCTATGGCTAATCCCACGACGGATAAAATAAATTCGATCTTTAAAAAAAAGATGATGCTTATCGATTAGATCCAAGTCTTGTGCGGGTATTGTTTACGTTATCCGATGTCTCACCTTGCTGCTCCAGTTTCCTCGTTCCGGTAGATCGTGGACTCTTATCTTGATGATGGAGGATTGTCGCAAACATTGTATGGCTTCAAATCGGAAGTCCGACTCTTTTTCGCCATTGGAGATAATTGGCAGTTCATTACTGGTAGGTTCGGTGAAAAGAGCCTTCAACTCCTGCACGGGATTCGCGGAACTCGTTGCCGGTTTCCGCGACAGAGGACTGGTGGATCTGTCTATCTTGGGACGGCCGGTCGATCCTCTCGAAGGCATTATTTGTTGCGATGACGAAATCGCGGGATGAGATCGGGATTGAAGGACTCACCTCATTCTATTATAACCGATCGGCTGCGAATGGAGATCAGCTTGCCAGTATGTATACTTTGTGCGTACTTCGTATTCTTTTTTTTTTTATTGAAATACTAGAATGTTTATGGCATGGTTGTTGAATCAATAAAATAGAAAAGGATATAAGAATAGCAAAGGACTAATTGATAATTGTCTTATTAGGTCCAATTAGGAAGCTTTTATAACGCGACCTTTTCGTTTTATCTAGTTACATCGGCCTTAATAAGCAGGAAGTCTTTAAAAGAACGACCGAAAGTGTTACGAGGCCCCAAAAGAATATATAGGACATGACGATAAGGCGCTATAATATATAAGTAATAGATAATATTTACGGAATCTCTCGTAATATTCATCGTGGCCATCGTCGTCATCGCGCGCACACGAGCGCGAGGTGCGCGTACAAGGTGCTATTACATATAGTAGACAAGGGTCTTGATGATGACCGATGAACGGTGAATAACGAGCCACTTCCGGGAATCATAGCGTTCGCCGAATGCGTTCTCATCGTCACAACCTTGTCCTATTTTAATATTTAACTCATGGTGCCCTGTGCACATCGGCGATATGTCGTTCGTCTTGTATCGTGTGTCCCGCGATAACAATATGCGATGAAAAAACTCCATTTTTTTTTTTACTCAATGACGAATATTTTAGATGTGTATTAAACGCGATTGCTGTTAAACTAAAACTTAATTATCAAATTAAATTTTTCAGATTAATTAGCATTTAAATACGAAGGACAATGCGACACGCGAGAGAGACGGATAATCTTATTTTTACTTAATATATTTTTTTTCATATGTATATATATATAGCTTTAAAGAAGTAATAATAGATATACATCAATTGTCAAGAGAACGATCAAAAGTGTTTTCATCATGTCATTTCTTATAGAACTCACAAACGACATACATACGTTATTGCGCGATCCAATATGCGTTTTTCCTGTAAGGATCCTTTTTTTCTACTTCTCGGTATCCTCCTCCTTAATCCTTATCCCTGTATCCTCGACATCCTGTCAAATATTGCGTTTCTTCCGCGATTCTTTCGGTGCGGAACTACTTCTGGTATCTTGAGCGCAGGGGATGTAAAATTTCTGAAGGGGAGCGAAATCACCCCTTTTGTGTCAGCCGAACGTTCAGCCGAGCGCGATTTCAAGGAAGGGCCCGCGCGGATGCAGAGATTTCTGCCGTACCCCGTCACGATATACCCCACAATGACACTCGGTCCCCCTCGAGTATGAACGCACCTATCTTTCCATTCAACAAATTAATGCCACAGTGTCACTCTATATTTAGGCTCTCTCATGCGGCATGGAGAGATCAGCCGATGTATGCGCGAATCACGCCGACTGATCGTGCGATATATATGAGATATTCTCCTTTTATTATTATTATTATTATTATTATTGTAGGGACCCTTCGATGTGATAAAATTTCATCATCTCCTTAGGTAATAATATACTTAGGGATAAAACGACATAAATATACGATCGAGATCGTAATCATCAGATATTATAAGTTGAGATGAAACGTCTCGATGTTCAAAATTTCTGAAATATAATAAAAATTCGTGCAATAAATTACATGCATTTATACATAAAAATATATAGAAAGCTCAGACAAATATAATTATTTATTTAAAAGTTTTACTTAAATTTCAAATTTATATAACGCATCTTTCGATTTATAATTCATAAACATATTTAATAATTTGAGAATTTAATATAAAAAACATTTCTCTCTGTTCTCGTTCTCAAAAAAAAAAAAAAAATTATCTTTTATAAAAATAAGTTTGACTTTGTCACAAACCCAGTATAAGTTTCATAAAAAGAATTTTAGATCGCGCACATATAATCTCACTTTAAAAAATATATCTGTGCTTTTTCTTGCTAAATAAATGAAACATAAGTATAAAAAGTTACGCATTTTTCCTTTGTATTTTCTATTTTTACACAATGTTTCTTTGTTTCTCCTGTTCTCTCTTCATATCTTTTTTTACTTTTTTTTCATAATTCTCGTTTCTCGTTAAACTTCTAAAGAAACTTACGAAAAAACAACAATTATATGTTATAAACATATGTATATAATCAATTCTAATAAATCATTCTTTCTTAAATATTCAAATCTTGTAATTAACAAAGATTAATTTTATTTAATTTTCCCTCGTGTGTTACAACCCTAACTTTACCTTAATCTAATCTAACCTAACCTAACCTAATCTGCGAGATTAATTCTTTCGATATACGCGCGGCAATTGGATTTCTAGCCCATTGTAATAATAAAAACATCATTGTCGTGAATTTCGTATATACTTTTGAGATCATGGATGAATCTGGTAATACTGATGACACTATAAAAGGAGAATCACGATGTTTCGTTTGTGACGCCGAAGTTCAGGGCCGCTTTTATGCCTTAGCTACATGCAGGACGCAAAATTCACAGACCAGAGTAATCGAGAAACTTGGAGAACTGGTCGGCGAGAGGTGATAAATTTGCATTATTAATAACCCACATGTTCTATAAAGTAACGGAATATTATAAAAAAGTCATTTTTTTCTCGCAGATACATGGTTGTAATATCCGAGGACGATGTGATCTGTCGCAGTTGCGCCATTCTCATTAACACTCTTGACAGGCTGGAAACGGAAATGCACAACATTCGCGATCATGTTTTACGATTTTTAGAACAGAAATATTCTCTGGAAGACGGGGAGCTTCGAGGTGGTGGCGATAAGCCGAAACCATGTCAGCCACCACAGATCACAAAATCTAGCTCAAAAGAGATTACCGATTACAGCTGTAAACAGAATGAGATTGACCTAGAAACAGAAGGGAGAAAGATTAGCATAGAAGAAGATAGTAAGATACAGGAAAACTCTCACTCATGGTTGCAATGTGACAAGTGCAAATATACCACACGTCTCAATTCTTTCATGATGTATCATTTGAGAGATCATGCCAAGCAGAGAGCATTCTGTGATAAATGTGGATTATGTATTTCTGAGAATCAGCAGGATATAAGACACAGTTGTACCAAGATAAATAAATCAAGAAACAAAGAAAATGAGAAAGGTATGAAGAAAAAATTATATTATTGAAATAATTATTTTTTGTAATTATTATGATCCTATCGATACATATTACAGATAATTCTGACACTATTGCCAGGAATGATTCAATGAAGACATTATTTTTGGAAAAGACATTGCAACCAACTTTACCACTTACCCAAACTACACCACCGCCACTGATAGGTTTATCAAGTTGTGATCATTTATATATTTCCAATATACTACCAGCAAGTAAGTTAGTAACAGTAGAACGATAAATTATTGTTAATAAAGGCATGTTTAATACAATATTTCTATTCTAAAAGATGATCCAACATCTTCCAAGCAGTCAATGTCCATTTTGAAGCCAGTAAATATGGTTGATATTGACATTTCAAGTAATATGACAAAAAGTTCAGAATCAAATCCTGTACAAGAAGAAGAAATAAAAACCAGAAATGAAAGCAGAAAACAGATATTGACTTTAACAGATGATGGAACTGTGGAACTGGTGGAAGTACCATGCTGGAAAGAGACATAAATGTTGAATATTAACATGACATTTCATTAATTACTAACTATGGATATTGAAATTATTTTGTTAATGATTTTTATATTTTTTCATTGTTATATTCATTGTGCAATTGTCTACAATACAACCTGAATGCAAATTCAGTATTGTAACAAATAAGAAAATTATAAAAACTCTTTAATATTATATATCAAATAATTGTATTATTTATGCACAATGTCAATTTCTTTTTTTTTTTTATTTTTTTTTTTTTTTTTTTTACATGACAAACTGTATGCAAGTATATAGGTCGATATAAAAATATTAACAATGGGATCAAGAAAAAAGACCGGCATAGCCGCTCTCAGGCTTCTCTCCGCATTTATGATGTTTGTTTTTATCGACTCGGAATTCTCTTCTAGTGACATTTAAAATATAATGTTGATCCCATTGCTATAACGCTTCCGACCAGAGAGAAGTCTGAAAAGCGAGAAGGGTCACGCCAGAGAGAGGCCACGCCGTCGTTTTTTATGAGACCGTTTTCCTAGCTAATACAGTGGCGCTAACTAGACCCACTTTAGAGCCGACTGAACTACATGACCAGATTCACTTTTTGATGCCATGGTAAAAAGACCGGTTGGTGCATATCCGTGCTAAACACATTATGAAGAAAAAATGCGGAGAAATATTATGGATTTATTAATGTACATTAAAAGCTATTATAAAGAAATTTATATAAGTATATAATTAATTATATTTTCCTATAGTTTTAACCGTGTTCTATTGTTAATATTGTGTTTTTAGCATATAAAATGTTAAGAGTGTTTTTTCTATCTTGTGGAATTCCACTCAGAATATTAATTAAAAGACCGGAAATACGAAAATAATGCTTTTCTCGGGATATTTAGTTATGTATTTATACGACATTAATTTCAAAAACGACTAAAGCTCCTTTTTTTCTATTATTGTCTTTTTCACTTTCATTTTATTTAAAAATATTAATATAAAAAATATAACTACAGTATCTCTCTTAGTCTGACTCTTCCCCTTCGACCTGTCCGGCATGGGTGACCCTACCGGTAATTTATTAACGTTTTTAAGTGAAGCAAAGTTTAATTGCTTTGAGAACGATTAAACCCAATTTACGATGAATATATATTTGATCAAAAATAGGTTTTGAGAGAATCTAATTAATATAAATAATATAAACTACATTTCCCGTTTTTTACGCTACTTTGTCTTTAAAGTACAAGATCCTTTGCCCTGATTAATCAACCAAAGGCTTACTCGAAGTATTCATTGATTAATCTAATAACCCAAATGCTCCTAAAATTCAAGACAGAGTTTATGAGTTTTATTCATTAATCGGTTTCAAAGCGATCAAACTTGCTTTACTTGAAAACGCTATATGTTACCGCCGGCATAGCTCTCAGGTTCATTAGAGTACGCAAACCTCCTCACCCGGCAAATGCCTTCGTTAAGGTGGAGATACCATCGAGGAGGAAAAATGTGTGAGGATAGGCTTTTTCCTCTTTTTCATTTCTCAGGTGAGGTATTATTTTATTTTTAATACAAAATTTAATACAAAATAATTTATTACATGGAATTACACGAAAATGTCCAAAATATGCATATAATAAAAAATGTACTACAAATTGTTAGACTAGACAAGGCTTTTTAGCGCCGATTAATTACGCAATATTTATTATTAATAATCGACATACAATTATAAAGCTTAATAAATTTTATATAATGTAAAGAGTCGCGACCAAAAGAGTCATTAATAAAGTTATTAATTATCTGTAATTGTAGAAGATAATATTTGTGCACTATAGGTGCATTTTGCGCAGACTTTTAAAGAAAAAATTCAAGACGCAAAAAAATAGACAAAGTTTCGATGTACATCAACGATTAAATTATAGAACAAATTGCGATTTAAAATTCGCGAGCAAACGCGACAAATAAATAAACCGACGATATTTGTAATATTCGATTGCGATACACGTAATTTTACAATAATCGTAACCCACACGCACGTACGCGTGCGCGATATAATCACTATCATGTTATGTAAAGATATTTCGACAGACATTTGAGATTTGTTATATAGCATCCATCGCGCGATTTATTTTTCAATACGCAATTTTATACGAATGTCGCGATCAACAATAAGATATATATTCTATATTATGGATAACTGTTTTAATAGAATAAAATGGGTCTTATAAGTTTTTAAATACCGTTATAAAAAATCGCGTTATTGCCACGTTTTATAAAAAATAACAGACCCAACGATTTTAACAAGGCTCTCCCTCCGCCGGGTGATACGCTGGTTAATATCCGACAAAGAGAAGAACGATCCTAAAGGCGGGGAACGCCCAACTTGTCTTGTTTCTACATCAGTTTCTGCAAGATCAATCCGCAAAGAAAAGTTAAGTGATCCGTTGAACGTTAGAGCCGCTGCAGGAGAGAACGAATCCCGGATCTTCCGGACTGCTCCCGATAGCAATGATTTCGGTAATGAATCAACGACAGTTCAACCATTTATCTTCATTTCGCGAGATTGAAAATTGCGCGAAAAAACATGTTCTTCCATTATTAAGAAATATATCTCTTTATTGAAAAATGAATGGATATAACAATTTTTTATGAAAATGTGGTTACGAACAACTATATTTATGGATAATAAAATACATGCATCGTTATTATAGCTAGTGTTAAATGTGCGAGTACAAATAATTCTCGGGTACCAACTGTTCGAGACGAATCGAACCCGATAACAGCAAAATTTAAAATATTTCAATTTAAATAGTTTGCAAATAAAATAAATCAACATAATTTCAAGTAATTAATTCTAAACTATTTTTTCGTAACGTTTAAATAAATTAATTTGTCGATCTTTTTTTGATATCGGGGTACCCATTCCATTTGTCTCGAAGTTTTTAAATATCCGCACATTTTACGTTATATTGATATATATAATTTCGTATATAAAGTAATATTCAAAGGAATATAAAAACCTTTTGGAATAATATACTGATTTGTGCATGTATTTTATTATATTATATAGAATAGTATATATATCCAAAAACATTAATCCAAGACTAATGTCTTAGAGTAGCGGGATGTCCAGTATCTGCAAATAGTTTCTTAAAAGAAACCAAAAACTGATGTTAATATCTGAAGAAAAAAAAATATATTTTTCTTCTAAAGAAAAGTATACTGTTTAAATTAATTTCTTAATCTGACTTTAAAGAGGCGCGTGGCGCTCATCATTGTGTTACTACCAAAACCATTACTTTCAGGAATCGCCAGGAAAACCTAGGATTAATTCCAATCCTGCAACAAAAATCCCCAATTTTCAACAAAGCACCGAACTAGACGTCGCGGATGGATCTTACAAAAATTAATAAGAAATAATTCTCCACGTTAAAGATCGTTTCGACTACTTGCCGATACGAACAAACAACTTTATTAACGTTCACCTGACGAGAGGGATAGCAATCGCGTTCAAGAACAGAAAGAACGGAAAGAAAGCGACAAAAATATGTGTTTTCGCAGTGTAATTTATAAATTTATTTGACGAATATGTGATTGCGATACGGAATTCGTAAATACATTAATCAATTAAAAATAAATTATAAAATCCGTACTAATTTACTCGCGATTCTGCAATATCGAGAACAATCGTTAAATTTCGTGAATGAGAAACTAATATTTAACCGTTAATTTAACATCGAATCTTTACACTTTTATTCGATATTTTTAATACCAAAGAATTATATATATTTATAAAATTTGTAAAGTTTGAAATATATATAAAATATATATAAAGTTTCCCCATTTTATCAACGACTCTTTGGTATGAAAACACACGGTTAAATTTATGTGTGTCAGAACATTTTTACAATACATATTTTAGAAACAAATATATATATGTTAATTGTACTAATTTCTATATATTGTTATTATACATGTTCTTTTGGTAATTTTTCCTTGTAATTTACAAAAGAATACATATTTCATATAATGTACATACAATTATAATAAATACAATTTTATATAATACAATTATAATTATGTAATTTACAAATTGATGATGCTATCACTATCAAATATATATATCCAATTTATAAAAATATTTTATAATGCAAATAATTTGATACTGAAAACATTAACATACATTTGGGCTTATACATATTTACATTATAATTACACAATATATATATATATGTATTTTTCTAACATTTTTAACATAAATATATATAACAACATATTATAATATTTTATAATATTATTGTAAATAATTTTTTTAAATTTTCCTGAAAATAAATTTAAGTTGGATATTATTATTGTAATGTTATTTCTAGTTTTTTCTTTAATATCTTAATGGTTCCTACAGCCCTAACAATCCTATTTGCTGGCTGAACCAGCAGAAATTTGAGATTTGGAGAATGTCCCTGATTTAATCACGTACTCTAACCACGTGCCCTAATCGCGCGCCCTACTCGCGTGCCCTAATCGCGTGCCCTAATCGCGTGCCCTATTCGTGTGCCGTAATCGCGTGCCCTAATCGCATACTGTATACTTCTCGCTACGCATTTTGGCCAGTATTGGCCGCCTATTTTGCGTAGCCTATATCCATTCTTCGGGCCAGTTGGACCTACCTTTCGTTGCTCCTGGCCACTTTCTGGATCGATCTCTAAACAGAGATCGAAAAAGGAGATACACACTCCTTTCATCGCCAGCTATTTATTATCGCCGGCGAATAGGCGCAAGATTTTTCTTGCACTCGTAAGGAGATAAACTCCTTCTTTTGCCGAATAATTATTGTCATCGGCAGATGAGCGTAAACATTTCACGCTCAATGACGATTGTGTGATTTTACGATCGTTCGTTAGACGACCATTTTAATATAACTTTATTTTAACTGAGACAAAGCCAAGTTATCAATCAAAATTTTGATTAAAAAATTATGATAAATTATGATAAATATATAAATTTGATTAAAATTTATATATTAATATACACGCGGTGCTAAAGACGCGAAAGCCGTCCGCGGCACGATGACGGTAGTTGGCGCGATCGCGTGTGGAAAAAGAATTTGACGGAGCGTCTCGCATCACTACTTTCCTGTTCGAGTGTTGTCGCGTGAATGATAATAAATATAATAAATATTGTAAGAAAGGAATTTGTGACGTAGCGTCTCCCATTGTTACAGTACTATTCAAGTGTCGCCGCGCGAATAATAACAAAGCCGTAACATGTAAACAATAGCACGCTAATGTTTACGTTGCCAAGGCCGCATACCATATGTTATTGATAATTCGCAGCCGAAATTATTTGCGTATTATGACGTATATATAAGCGGAATTCATAACAAAATTATACAAGTATTTTAAATTATAGATCAATTATTTAATAAACGATTAATATATCACGGAGCTTATTGTTATGTTAATTACCCACACTTGCGATTCGACTATTTTATTGCGCGTTCTCAATCCGAATCACATTTAAATCGTCAAAGGCCAAATGATAAAGCATGAGACAAGATATCTTTTTTATTACTTTAAATATCGATAGAAAAATAGTTATTATTTGTAAGGATCGTAACAAAACGATAATTCATAATTTAGATTTCTGTCATTTCGATTCTTACTTTAAAAGAGATTCTTATTTGTATTTTATCAATTTGATAATAATTTTAATGGGTTAATGAGATTTTTGCGATTAAAAGGACATTTAACACGATATAATTCTGATAATTTTTACTTATTGTTAGATATGGAAAAAAATTTTTATCTAATTTCTAGAATTGGATTTGAAAATCCGAATATTGTCGCGTTTGATGTCATTTCATTCGCAAAAATCTATTAATCAAAAATAAAATTACATCTAAAAATATATAAAATATACAGATTTTATAAAAGTTTATATATATATATATTGGGTAAGGGTGGGCGAAGAGGCTTGTTCTTCGAGTGAAAATAGCGCTAAGTAAGCGGAACATATCTATTATTATGTGTTTATTTTCAAAAAAACTTGTATTAATTATTGTTTTAATTATTTATGCTTATATAAATTTGTATATAATAGCTTTTTTAATATACATTGGTGTGCACAAATGCATCCAACTAAATTTTTATAAATTAAAAAGTTATTTAAATAATATAATTAATAATTCATTAGTTAATTATAAAAAACTAATAGAGTAAAAGAAATTTATTGTAAATATTTCCTACACATTATATCTAAAAATTAAGAAAACTATTATTAAGAAAATTTATTTTATTTCACATATGCGTATATACATAAAAATATTTCAATAATAATTTATTATCGCTGTCCGTAGTATATACTAGAATGACAAAACATCACACGCTGCTAATATAAAACATAATAAATCCATAATATTTCTCCGCAATTTTGACTCACAATTATGGATCTAGCACGGATATGCACCAACCGGTTGTTTTATCGTGGCACCGAAAAGTGAATCTGGCCATTTAGTTCCACCAGCTCTAAAATGGATCTAGCTGTCGCTACAATACCAGCTAAGAAAACGGTTTCAAGAAAAATGGCAGCGTGACCCCTCTCAGGTTTCTCTCTTCTCACTGCTACTATAAAAAATATTTTGAATGCTTGATCAAACGTACAAACTAGAGTCGGTTGATTTTCATGCAAACTATTTACTCATACAAGTACGATGACTCTTGAGGAATTTAAGTGCAATATACTAGACGTACTAGAAAATGATGACTACAGAAGTTCCCTTTTGGAGAAATTGGAGACGTTCTATCGGACCTTTCGATCAAATGTCATCGCCCAAATCGAAAAGAAAGTCCTTTACGAGAAAGGTATTGTCATTTTTTAATATATTTTTACAAAAGACAATCAGACTATCGATGAAAAAAGCTCACATTATATTATTACATTTACTTAATAATAAGTTCATAATTCATTATATAAATATGAAAATCTTAATAAAGATGAAGTCTTTTTATATTATGTAGATTGCACTAACAAGAAGTTTGTCATTGCTACAAAGATATCAGAGCTACAACAGAAGATTGATACAGCAACATCTAACATAGATGCTAGCATATTGCAAGAGAAAGTAATAGATAAGAAGATTCTCGATGTGATAAAGTTGCAAGATAATGTAAAGAATGAATTAGAAGAAGCAAAAAAGCAGAAAGATGCTTTATTTTCAGAGATAATGGATTTAGAGCTGGGTGAGCATATCTATTTGTTTGAATCAAAGTTCGTAAGTTCGATATTGTGTATGGTTCTCATCTTGAAAATCTATTCTCTTATTCTCTCTTAACTATATATTTCCAGAAATTGAAGAAAGGAGAAACAAAAAATCTCAACGGTGGGACGCCATTAAACGAGCATGTAACATTTACAAAGTAAACTTGGACATGCGTATAAGTCTCCAAGAGGAGAAAGATTGCGACTACATAAAAGTTGCTTTTTTCACACACAATAATGAAACAAAGGATAAATACTTTGTTCAATTATCATACAGTGATAACTGTTGGATAGGTATATAATATATTAAATATAAATTGAGAATGAGACACAAATGTAACCGATGTATAATACTGGTAGTTATTTGCATAATATTTTCAGTTAAACATTGTGAACCAAAATTAAAGAAGGAACATTTCAACGAGCTGAGCATTGAACAAGACTCCTTTGGACATTCCAAAGTAGTGGACATTACCTTGTTCTTGTACGAGATACGAAGTATATTTCTAAAATATTACATATAAAAACTAGAAAAAATCATAAAACAATAAACACAATTAATTAATTATAAGAATTCATGGAAAGCGTATTTTATACAAAACAATATATCTTTTTTGTTCTATTCCTCCTTGTAGTATGGCTGTTATCATTAAAAGTTCAAATATTTGTTTAAATATTTATTCAATTATATGAATATCTCAGCATTACATCAATATCTTTTTTTCCTATCCTCAATTTTTATTAAATTTGTTACAAGAGTTTTCTTGTGAATATCTCTGAGATTTAAGCAAAAGATAAGATATTGGAAAAGAGAAAGTGCAAATCACAATGCAGATAAATAACTTAGATGCTAAAATTATATAAACAGATCTCTACTTTGTCTTTTTATAAGTATATATATACATATACATATGTATAAATGGTATCTACGTACATATAGTACTGCATCATTTTGCAGACATCACGAGAAATTCACTTATAAATCAATACAACTTATAAATTTAGACTAACGTACTACACATTTTTAATTACTTTTGATGGTATTATGTATGCGCAAATACTTGTGCATAATTTATTAGGTACGTAAAAATTTGATCTTAATAATACTTCATCAATTATTTCGTAGTTCTCGCGATATCTCTCTAAATTGATGCGAATCTTTCATTGAAATATACAAAATACCAAAGATAAATTAAAAATTATTTTTTTATTCCGAGTTTTAATTAATTAAGCTACCAGTCGTGCTATTGGCTGCCTTCTGCAATGTGTTAAAAGAACTTGGAGGAGAAATTCTTCCATTTAAAAATTTATAATTAATAAATTTAATGTTTTGATCTCAATTCAAGATAACGCCTTTTGCGCAGTGTTTTTTTATAAATCTTCCGAACTTTTATGCTATTTGCGATGCTACGTTTGATATTAATTATTATATAATCCAAAATTTTAAATTCTTCGATTTACAATTAGTATATTTAACTGTTACATTGTTAATTTTGGCGGAAAATGTTTTTTTCGCGGCTCTTTCTTTCGCAAATTTGTTATAGAAACGAATATTTTACATATGCCATATTTATTTTAATATTATACGCGCGAATGTAAAATAGCCGAATACTATGGCTACACCGCGGATAAACGAGCTGATACATTATGTATGCGTGGAGGCACGCTGATAACAATTCGTCCCTATTGGCACGAGTTAACAAAAGAGTCAATTGATCGCCCACTGCCAATCTGCTCATACCGGTGGGAGAAGTTAACAGATTTCATTTGCTCCATTGACCCGTCGGGAATTCATTCGCATACACATGATCATCGAGGAATTCGATTGAAGACCGAAGTCTTTTGTGAATTATTACGTTGTAGAAGCTGCGGCCGTTTTCCTCCACTTGAATCATCATTCCGCTACGTGATATATCGAAAACCTAAACCTAATGTCAGAAAGCAATGATTAGCATATCTCCGCCGCACTTCGTGCACTCGAAACACACGGACGCGCGGATACTTGAGATATTCTTTTTTTTTAATATGATAATGTTCAACGTATGATTTGTAACTATGCTATATCAAACATGCAAATGTGAATTTGGCAAAAATGTCTTACGTCTTGAATTCGCAGAAAGAAAAAAAAAAAAAATGTTTCGACGACAAGCGGATGTGAGAATGTGTTGCGAATTGATGCTGAAAATAGAGTTTTGCGAATGAATTGATACTTCGTTCAGATACGAATACGATTATTGGCTATTCTCTATATACTTCGTACTCAATTTGACGGAAAAAGGAATGCTAAATTAAAAATGGCTTAATGCTATACGTGAACAGGATTTTCCGCTGTTACAGACTATTTACAATGTAAGGGTTTCATCTATTGCTAAACGGAAAAGTAATGATTCTTTTGTACGCAATTGTACAATTCCGCGTTCACTCATTTCCTATAACGACTGCGAACTCCGTTGTATTTTTAATTTTTCCGTATCATTTCGAGATTATACTCCAATATTGGACAAACATGATCCTCACATTATTGTCGCGATATCCAACGGATACTTTTAAACATCCAAGATTGTCCTAAGCGTATCGGAGCTGTATGGATCTGTCTCGGAATTCATGATGACTAAAAAAGATGTTTTCTTCAACGATCGTACGAAAAACCGTCGATCACAAAATCGCTTCTCCATCTACACACACGCATATGCAGATAGATACATAAATACACCGCGCCCTCAAAATCGCGGAGAAAACGAAAGTTACCGAGAGTGCTCGGAATAACGTCGAATCCGTTACATTACTGCATTATTAGTGGATATCCAGAGACGGCATATCCGTTTTCGACGATCGAACTCTGCTCGTGTACTTTGGTAGTCTTTCTCGTCTTCCTCATCTTTCCTCATCCAACGAAGACAACATTCAACGAATTGTCGCACGATTTTCTCTGATACCGCACGATATTTTTTCTACACTGATCCCTCCCTTCATCGTACTTTCTCCTTTCTTTCTCTTTCTCTCTCTTTCTCTTTCTTTCTCATCATGCTGGATATGGATGCTCGCGCGAGTATTATTTTCGTATAGCCACCATGCACCATGCGGCGATGCAACTTTCTTATTCGAGGGTGGCGGCGAAGGATACATTGCCGCCGGAGGCTGCCGCCGCAGCGGCCAACAACAGCGTCGGCGGAAGCGGTGGCAGCGGCAGTGCCGATGTCAATTCGACTGCCGTCGGTGGTGCCAACGTCGTCGTGGTTGGGCAATCACTGCCGACCCCGTAAACTTTAGCGTGATTTACCTCGAGCGCGACGGTCAAGTCGGCCAGACCGGCGTCACACAGCACGGGATTATCTGCGAACAACAAAGCGTATGTGTATGTATGAGAGAAAGATAAAGAGCATAAGGACTTATGCCGCATGATGAAATTGAACAATAAGATACAAAGAATGAAAAATCTGTACATGTGAAACACGTTCGTAACGTGATACATTTGATTTTTACATTTGATTCTTTGTATCTTACTCTTGTATGCGTTACTGTCTACTCTTGCGCTATCCTCCCCTAAATTCAAGAGCCATATTATTTTGATCATAAATTAACGTAATATAAAAAAAAAATTATCTCATAAAAACGCGTGATTACTGACGATGTGGCGCCAGTTGTGATAACAAAGATTAGCCTAGCCTGTTACTCATTAACAGAGAAAGAAAGTGGTTGTCCGAAACAAATCCGAATTTTAACAATTTTTTCCACCACATATTGCATAATTTTCTCAATGCAAACTTGTGAAAAGGAGAAAGAGAGTGTTCAATGAAAACTGAGATCAAGCTACCGATAATTGGGATTGAGTACGATAGCATGGCAAAGAGAAACGATATATTAACAATAACAACAGCTCAACGCAAGCAGGCGCCGGTATACAATAAATAATTCGAGATGGCGCCGCAGCGGGGGTTATCGCGAGAAATGTAATCGTTGTAACAAATAATATGTATATAATGTCTCAGGAGCCAAACGGAGCCAGGCCATTATCAGCGAGTAATTTATTTTCTGTTCACTCTCTTCTCCTGTCCCTTCTTCTCTTTCTCATTCTCTCTTTCTTTCCTCGCTCTCCTTCTGTTTACTTGTTCACACTAGATCTTACAAGCGATATTTATTAATTACAGTACCGCATGCGTCATATATTGTTCTGTTTTCTTCGATTAATGTCTGTTAATGTCCAACAATCTAATTAAAGTTAATTGTACACTATTAACAAATTATATAGAGCAGAAAAAATTCATCAGAAAAAAAGACAAAAGTATAGAATATTATTCTTGTAGCGGAAAAACAAATTGCAGTTGTTGAAATTCGATAGAATTTATAATAAAAAAATCTTTATTTAAATTTTGTGTGTGTATGTATGTCGTGGGGTATCGTGTAAAAGCTATGTATAATTGAATGAATCTAGAAATCAAAATGGCTATTTGTTTGAGACGTTAGAATCTGCTACAATACCATTAATAGCTGTCTCACTGAGCAAAGATTTCTCTATAGGAATCAGAGTCTCGTTTACTGCAGTTAACTCGATTACTATTCATCTATGACAAATCTTTCTTATACCAGACAAATATATGGCAGACAACACTGCATATCCGTTCTTCTTTCTCTCAACAATCAACACTACTATCATATTTAGATCTGCCAGCTACTATCAATTTTAGCTAAAAATTATATATTTTGAAAAGAGATGGAAGCAACTTGCTTTTTTTTAAATAAGTGTAAAAAATTTTAGACACAACACGATGAAAATTTTACCTTTAACATTCTCTACTATTATATAACGCTACTATAAATAATCTGTTACGCACATGAATATAGGAATGTGTAGCGAAAGCGTTAAATATGATACTGAAAGGCGGCGGAGATAGACGCTTCGAGAAAGAGAGAGAGAGAGAGAGAGAGAGACAGACAGAGTTTAATATAAACTCACCTTGAAGGTATATACGTAGCACATCGGGGACCCCGTGAATCGTGCATCGCGTATTAGCCACTAGCTCCGGCATGAGAGTACGTATTTGATTCATGCTGACGTCGGCCCAACAGAGCACTGGAAAACCGCGAAAGTCCCGGCCGGACAATGTGACCAGACGGTTGTGCGACGCATTCAGTTCCTCCAAGGACGGCAGCCATGTCTAAATAACAATTTTCATATCAATACTTCACTACATCAGTACGTCGATTATCGGCGAACAAAAAGAAAGAAGCAAGATGGAGAGAGAAAGAGAGAAAAGATGACTCGATATCGCTGTTTTTGTTTACCTCTGATGTATCTTCAAGAGTGGTGAGCTGATTGTGCGAGATATCGAGCACGCGGAGCGCGTCGAGACCGCGTAAGTCGCGCGGCCCGATCGTGGGGCCCAGCGCGTTGTGACTGAGATTGAGCCTTTGTAGCTCCTTCATGCCCAGGAATAAAGAGCCGTCCAGGCTACGTAACTCGTTATGCTGAAGACGCAGATCCTGGATATTGCCGCCCGCGATCTCGTCGCCCTCCTCCTCCACTAGATTCTATAAGCATCGCCAATTTCTAATCGATCGTTTCTCATTGAGTCAGATCGGCCATTATCGATAACAAAGATATTTTACACATTGACATTGATGACATTGATGAGTACCTACCTCGGAGGACGGTCTTCCTCTGTGTAATCTGGCGATTCGATTGTTGGACAGATCGAGCAGCCTGAGCTCGCGTAAGCCGCGTAAGGAAGCCAGGGAGAACTCGCGAAGTTCATTATGCGTCAAGTTCAGACACTTTAATGATCTAAGGGGATAAAGGGCGCTACTACCGTTCCCGTCGCCATCCGCGCCACCCAGGGACTTGAGAGAGTTGTGTCCGAGCTCGAGGTCCTCCAGCATCTCGGCCTCTATGAAATCGTTCTCGTTCAACTAAAGCACAAGTCAAGCGTCTCTTCAGTCTCTATTATCCATAATGTAATTTCGCGTAATTAATTAACTCGTTTGCGACTCGAATATGATCTTGATGACTTCGATCTGATGCGCGACACAATTGAACGAAAAAGTTGCTGTCCGTTTGTTCGTACGTTTCGTCTGATATAGTGGCTTGAAATCTTTCCACTAGGCGGAAGGCAGCAATAATTACATTACGTATACGTAATTGACTCAATGTACGGCGCGCTTTAGCGCGAATGAACGCCTTGACTTCTCCACCATGCCGTGCACGTTAAAACGTAATATCGAGAGCATATGCGCTCCGCGAGTTGCAATTATGCAGATTCATTCATATTTTTGGGTTCCTGAGATCCTTTTTTCTTTACAAAAAAAAAAGATTTATTTATTTATTTATTTAGTATATTAAAAGTGACAACTTTCTGTAATTTAAAAAATAAAATTTTGTTCCATGAAAATATTACTTAAATATTGTAAAACGATCGTTTGTGCACAACATCGAATTATATACGATTCAAGACGAAGTTCAGAAAGTATTTCGTGTGACATAAACGTATGGCCAAATACCTCTTGCAGCTCGTTGTAAGAGAGCTCTAGAAATTTCAAACGTCTAGCCTTCTGCAGAGTACCGTCAAGATTTCGGATCTTGTTGTGCTGGAGGAAGAGAGTCTCTAGACGATGAAGATATCGGAATTCGTTCGGCAGATGCGTCAGTTTGTTATCCACTGCGTAAAGCATTTTAAGATTGTGACCGGACGACGGTAGCTCGCCATCAAGTGACGTGAGCTCGTTAGAATTAATGAGCAACCACTCGAGTTGATTTAGATCTCTGCGAAGAAAAACAAATGGGACACATATGGCTAAATCGTCCAAGGAATCCTGTTTTATGTATTCAATGCGCTGAGCATCATCAAAGATTCTCGACTACACGATTTTAAAGGTCGTCGCCGATCGATAGTCCACGCATGGGATTTCCTTTAAACAACAATTCGCTTTTGCTAGCTCGATCAAAAATAAAATGAATTAGATAAGAGATTCAATGATTAAACGATAGTAAACAGGATGGCAGCAAGATGCTGAGGTAGCTTTCTTTCGATGCAAACGCAACTCTCATAGTTCATAAATGAATGAAAATTATGTTTTAGCCATGTGTTGCAGATTATACATTTTTTATCATCCTTGCTGAAGATTAAATTGTAGTACCGCCCATTCACATTCTCCCTTCTTCTCTACAAGAAAAAACATGAGTCGATCGTACCTTAGGGTATGGTTCAGACTGTTCAGATGATTTCTGCCGACGTGCAAGTGCTTGACTAGAGGCGGCAGCGAACCCGGGGTCATCTCAGAGATTGCGTTTCCGGCCATGGCCAAATGCTGAAGCATCGGATTATACTAGAACAGAAAAGATAGCACAAAATTGCAATATTTATAGAATATATATAAATTTAGTTTCTTCTCTCTTCTATTAAATCTTACGATATTTTCCTCTTTTATGTAATAAGGCATTTTTATTATCTAAAAATATTGTTCTTAAAATTTATCTAGCACTTGATTATGTCTTCGTAATTGTAGTAACACGCGAGAGAGTCAATGCACAGATTTAGTCGCGAATTAAAGAAGCGTATGATTCTCTTCCTGACGATCTGTCTGAGGAGTTTGAGATTGTAATCAAGCAACTTTTTACGCACTGATCACGTGCATCATGATGCACATCTCATATCCCATCGCGTCGACAAGTTCGTGACTTCACTTCCCGATCTGTTTTTCGCAAGATCTCGCACACGTGAGATCTATACGGTCATATAAACTAAATCTAATCTAATCCCCGCGAATATATACTCACCTTGAAATCATCCGAATCGATACGGCTTATCCGATTCCTGTTGAGATCCAGAGTCCTCAGCAGCGAGAGATGCAACAGGACGTGCCTCGGTATCGAGGGTACTTCGTTGTCCGCGAGACTCAAGTACTGCGTCCGATCCAGACCAGCGAAAACATCGCTATCCACGACCCTGCAAATCGCGATATCACATGCGTGTTCCTTGACTTTAAGGAAACGAGATAAGTGTTATGCAATAAACTAAGCAACATTTCCGCGCTCGCGCGACGCTTTCTTCAAAGGATTCTTTTTAAATGACATCAAGTATAGTAGTATATTTCATATTTTTCTCTCTTTGTTACTACACTATTTATCATTTGACTATATAGTAATATATGATCGGAGCGAGTCGGTCTAATGGGAATCCTGAAAAATTGGCGACGCGCCAGACATTATCGTATTCGATTATACACTTGTTAGTATCGGCTCATATACTGCGACGACTCGTTATTTAATTATTCCACGACGATAAACATGCATAGCTCTTGATAACTCGCGTGCGAAGAGGTCAGGCATGATTAAGACTTCATTCTTACGTCCCGTTCCTCCTCACGCTGTCTCGCGAGGATACTTCTTGGTATTCCTAAAGAGAGACATACAGTCTCCAAGGACCGTCATTTGTTCCTCACCTCGTCTGGCGGGATACGCGCGACAATATCATCAAGGGAGACCGGTGGCTCGTCCTTTGTGATGTTCGTAAAGAATGACGCACGCATTATTCCGAAGAAAAATAATGATACAGAGGTGAAAATTTAAAATTGAAACCAAGAACGGACTGGCCGAAATGTCGAGACACGTATCGCGTTCGTTCGCTAATCGCTATGACAGAAACATTACGTAATGATATCGGCCACGATATCCTCTGCTTCCGCTATGTACGCGACAATGTTTAACGTCATCGCATCACGAGACACGGTCGTTGGAATGCGAATTGCAAAATTTTGTCCACTTGTTATCACGTTACTTAATAATGCCACAGACGAAACAAAAAAACTTCTTACGAGAAATACCCGTATACGCTATCGCACAAACCATTTATGGGACAAATTACTGTATTATAAATGGATTAACAATTAAACTCAATGTGTGATCAACGGTAAGATTTCAGAAATGACTTATCGAATAACGTACGATCGCTTTTCCAGCAAATACGTTCCGAAGAAAGTTCAAACATTGGTTCAAACGCAATGGCGCCATGAACGCCTTCGCAAATAGTCGTTGCGGGAATTAAGATCGTTTCTTTGTTATACATACACAAATGTCTCCATTCAATGTCCGCAATAGCAGACGATGACCTTTTGCAAAGATACTGGCTGGCCGTATCGTAAGTGTGTGGCACACTTACAAACGGAGAGCACGAGAATGACACAGACGTGTACCGCGGGGGCTCTGACATTTCGCTTTGCGATTTATTCTGTTTTGTACCGTCGGCATTTTTCAATCAATCTTTGATTTCGTGAAATTTCTATAGAAATCTGTTTAGTAATTAATTTCATCAAACTTTTCTTACTTCAAATTCTATAATCAACATTAAATAACCAATCAAATGTTCTAATTTTTAACATTCAAAAAATAGAAATAATGTGACATTATGTCGATAAAAGGATGTTGATGAGAGAGAGATAAGCTGTTTAGTTAATGTTTTGAGAAATAGATGATCGAAACTATCGTTATCTCTACGCGCGCAGTGTAGTAACCGTGACTGATAAACAGTATCAGTTATCGCGCCCCCACAATTCTCTTCGTTTTCATCGATGACTTCGACAAGCACTCTTGTAACTTTACCGTTCAGAATCCGCGTTGCGCGTTAATTTCCCAGAGCCAATGAAGATCATTTCGTCACGCGAAATCAATGACGCGCAATATATCGCACTCACCCCAGATGATCGTGATTCAGCTCGAGCCGGATGATAGACATACGCAACTGCTTGAAGTCGTGGCGCGATATGTCGCGCAGATTCGAATGTGCCACCCGCAGGGTGATCTGCTGCTCGGGGGTAAACTTGCCCCTTAGCGCCTCGGCCAGCTGATCGAACGACTTCATCTTCTCGCACATTACCTCGATACGTTCCCCAATGTGGTGACCGCCACCCCCGGCATTATTGTTCGCGTTACCGCCAGTAGACGCGGCCGCGGTCGTCGCCGCGGTTTGTGCCTGATTAATAACGGGACTGGAAAACTCCTCCTGTCGGCAGGTGCACGGGCTGATTTCGCGGCGCACGGCGCAATGAAGACTCGCGCTAGCCGCGAGGCCCAGCAGTGTGTAGAGAATGCCGGACATGCTGCCGATTAATTACAATGCGTAATTACAGGACAATCGCGAAAATGGCGAGAAGAATACCGTGATCCTAGCGAGATTCGCGAAATGTGATAATCGCGCGCACCACCTCTGCGCGATCACTTTCTGAGAGAGAGAGAGCGTCCTTCTCCGTGTCACTCGATACGCACAATGTGTATGGGTTTTGCGACAAAAATCGTACGATTGTTTTTCATTAAGAGACACGAATGTTGTGCGAGATTAAACGCGAACGTTTAATCTCGCATAGCGCGGAAAACCGGCAATTGTCCGCGATATTATTCCGTGTTTAGACACTGCCACACTGCCGATCACTGATCAACACTGGCAGAAAGAATCGACACAGCAGTTGCAGTAGTAGCAGCAGCGAATGACAGCCACGTGTTATCTGCACTGTAGTTGGGTCCACATCATCTTATGGTATATAAGTTCACCGCGCCTCCCTCTTTCTCTCTTCTTCGTTGTCTCCGCGGGGACCGGCCGGGAAAAGGAAGCTTATCGTCGTCGCCAATGGACCTTCCTTCTGGCGCCACGGACGCGGCAACGACAGCATTAAGCCGCGGCGCGCCGCGCGAGACTTACTTATAGTCGTCGTGTCGGCACCCACCGTGGCGCCGCGCGAGGGTCTCCCTCCGGAGAGCTCTTCTTCGCTCTTCTTACTACTCCCTCCGTCGTACGTTACGCGCGTACGTACACCGACGAGCTCATCTTCTTTTTCTACCGGCCGCTCGCGAATGAGTGAACAGCCCAGCTCGGCCCGGCCCGGCTCTCTGCTGCTCTTCCCCTGCGTTCTTACCACTACACCCCGTACTACGCGTATTCTCGTTCCTCCTTCCCCGTTGTTGTTCGCCTCGTTGCTCCCTGTCGTTCTCTCCCTTATCATGCCCCACGGTATGTTCCTGATTATCACACACTCCCTCGCCGTGGCTACCGCGCTTACTTAAATCCAGTCCCCGTTAGGCACGCAAGGCTTTTATCTCTTTTTATGTTTGTCCCATTATTCCGGAAGTTATCCTCGCTCAAGAATGGATATCTCTCATTTTCACTCATGGACCGTGACGGATACGAAGAAGTTTTCGTCGGATCAGCTGCTTCGGCGGAGGATTCATCAACCTCTCCCTCTCGTCATCTATCGCACTGCACACACGCTTGCAGCGTGTGTTTGCACCGATAAACGGACCGATTGCTCATAACTTTTGACCTTTGCTTAACTGCTTCGCACGGTGCACGACATGAAAGAAAATATTATTATAGATAGATAATTCTCTGGTGCTCTCTCTCTCTCTATTTTTCACTCGCTCTCTCCACTGCAAAAGACGAATCATCCATCATAGACTGATCAAAGTATATCCTGTACATAGAAATTAAAGATTAGAATTACTTTCAATTTTATAATTGAAAGATTCAAAAGATTATCAAAATCAAGCTACAAATTATAGATTAAATTATAGATCCACTGTTGTTCCGAATTTCTTTCAATTATCCTTTATTACCATTGATTGATAAAAAAATGGGCTTGCATGTTGAAAACAATTACTGAAACTTTAAAAGATATATTGGAATATGTTATCGGCGATTTCATTTCCTCATTATATTTGCGTGCCAGAGAATCGATAGATCGCGTAAATCGAATCTTCCCAAATACGAAAGAATGATATGCAAATTTTTCTGGAATGTCGATTCGATGGAATCGACCGAGAAATTAGCTGTTGTCTCATCTTGGATTTAGGGGACCTCAACCGATTCATCATCGACGATAATTATTATTAATGGCGGGATCGAGGAAGCTTCGATCGTATGTCCTATCTTCTGCGCTCAAATAAACTTCAACGAGCGATTCACGATTAACACCGGGTACCTCCGGTAGCCCGGTAGCTTCTGTCGCGACACCTTTCCTTCGTTCTCTTTTCGTTATTCGGGGACCGAAACCGGTATATGTAATCTCTTGTTAAATTCTCGATATGGAAAAATTTATCTCGCTTCGGTCAGAGATCCGTTTTAATTGCCACAAATAAGCACAGAAATTATTTTAAAATATAGGAATCGAGATAATAATCGATCGAAATTACAACGGGTCTTTTTATAGGTAATGTAAAGGATCACAAGAAAAATGTTGCTCTCTTTCGCTCGTTACAAATTGGAGAGATAAATCCTAACTTCGTGTTCGTTAATCGTCGTAAGAAGAGCGATCTCGAGAGTACGCGTGTCCATGTCGAGATCGTAAGTGTTCTATCAAGGGTTTCTCTGTTCATCGTAAAATAATATCGATTACTTAATGAGTTCGCCGATGCGGTGGCGGCGGCGCTTCACGGGTCGCTTGTCATCCAAGTAAACGCCTCTATCTATATAACGTGGCTGTTTACGCGCATGATTTACGTACCCATTTATATGCCGTAACTCACCAGTGAGGTATGCCATACAAATTCTTGAGCTTGGCGCCACCTCGACTCGCCTTATATCCTCTTTAAGCTATTCTACATTGGCTCCCATGGCATCTATCTCTGCACTGGCGCCTATAATTCGCCTAATCTCTCCCGTCGCGTAAAGGTCATCAAACTGTGGACATTCCAGTGAAAAACATAGCTTTAATTTTTCACAAACATCGAGTGAAAAGAAAAAAAGAAAGAGAGAGAAAGAGATTCTGAAAATCTTTATATACTTTTATTTATTTATTTATCCGTCAAAAACAACACGATGCAAAAGAGAGAGAGAGAAAGAGAAAGAGAAAGAGAGATAGGCAAGAGACTTTCTCTTTGTCCTGCTGTTGTCCGTTACCGCTTTTATTATTGCCGCGGGCAGAGAGTAATACGGGAGCAAGGGAGGAGGATACAACACAAGCGAGAAAGGCCAGGCAAGCAGGCAAGACAAGGCAAGGCAGGGCACGAGGCACGAGGTACAAGACGGAGGGACCTAACTCCGTGCCCCTCGGTTTAACGAATGCGAGAATGCGGCCTGGCGCCAACGCACACGCGGTCGCCGCGTCGGCCGCCGCGTCACGCGCTCTCGCCTCTCTCGCCGGCTCTTTCTCTCCCTTTCTCTCTCTCTCTGTTTAATGACCTTACCGGAGTTCAAAATACTAAACTGCAACCGATCTTTCAATTCGTGTGCCCGCCTCACGTTTAAAATATACGATGAGCGTACATAAGGCGCGTCCCAGGGTAATATCAAGATATATAGCAGCTTCTGGAATACTTTGCATTCTCTATCTCAAAATGATTATTAGGGCCTTCTTTACAATCCTGTAAAATATTTCAATGTTATTTTTAAAAATACTCTGTAGTATATATCTCGTAAGTATGGTACAATAGAAAGCTTGATGATTTTACGTGAGAAAATAAAAAGAAATATAATAAAATTTGTTTCACAGTAGTTATCGGATTACGAATTAAAAATGATATATTTGAATTACAAAATAATTTCATGTGAAATAAATGAAAGTGTGATCTTTATATTTGAAGTATATCTTTCTCAGCAATTAATACGGTTTTTAATCTTTTCTTTTTAATGTGATGTTGTATCTTTATATCGTCGGCCGCGAAATAGAGTATATCAATCAATTAACTGCTGTTTTTTATTCTCTCAATTTTACTGCATATTTCCCCTTATTATTATATCATTAATATGATTTTTATGATGTAAAATTCTCACAAGCTGTTTGTCAGTTCTATTCAATTAAGTCAACTTATCAATTTAATATAGTCATTAATTTACTTGTGAAGTCAACTCATTTATATAATTATCATTTTTTACATTTGCATATACATATCTTAAAAAGATTTGTAAATGACAGTAGATTTCCTCTCTTTCTTTCTCAGTTATCAGTATCGATATAGATAAATCTTTGGCGCTCTATTTGCATCTCTATATTGCACAGCTTTGAGGTAAGCATGCAAACTTCTTTCTTTTCTTATCAAGAAACGTAAGAGGAAAGAAGCAGATGGAGAGCGGAGACAGAATAAGAAAGGCAGCAGAACGAGTATCGCGCTCGAGTATATACGATAGGTACTTCACACGCTACGTTGAGATATTGGGAGATAATCGCCTGGCGTAGGCGTTAAGAACGCTAACATAAGTGTGAAGATTAACCTTTGCTCGTAGTTGATCGCTATTGGATTTATTCTTTCGAATGTTTTCGATTAATAGACTGTTCTTTACACGACGACAAAGGTTACTCTAAAAACCCGTCCTTTTCACACACAATCACACTTTTTCTACATCTTCTTTAATTATTTTTTCGTTTTTTTTTTTTTACGTATATACTATTTAATTTTAAATAATTAAAGTAAAGTAGTGCAGTGTTGCAAAGACTAGACAATTAAATTCGGGCACAGTGTTTAGCATTACTCGATTTCTTCTCCTTTTTGTCATTTATCTCTGCTACATTTGGACAATTTTCGCATGCAATTATTCGCAACCTATTACGCATTTTTTTTATATCTTAACTATATAAGTTTTTCAAAAATTGACAAGAATTTAAATTGGATTTTATTTTGCCTTATTTTGTTTCCCTTCTCCATATATGTTTTTATTGAAGGAATAATTATACCATTAATTTCTCGAGAGCTGCAGTTGTGTCCAAACTGTATTCTATAAGAAAGATGTTTGTCTTCGCTTTTTCACGCTTTTAGCATCTGGCCTCTTTTTCTCTCTGGTTCGTTACGTTTGCACGGCGCTGCGCGTTGACCGCGAAAGGGGTAAAAAAGAAGCTGTATGAGAGGATTAAGTTAAACGCATACTAACGATCTAAATCTAGATGGGCGTCGTTTAAAACCGTCTCGTCACCGTGTCGCGAATTTGGCCAGCTTTTTTCCGCTTCTAAATTGGACTATGATGGAACGCTTGTTGTACATTCTTGTTCTCTATTTCAAACCGTCCTTGTTATTCGCAGAACAATTAAAATTTCAGCTAACAATTATCGAATATACGATAAGAAGCGATATTGAAAAACGTGAGAGAAGAAGCTTTCGTTTAAACATTCCAACTCTTTATATCACACAATTTTTCTTTTTCTTTTTTTTTACGATAATTGTACTTGTGGATGTACAAGCTTTATATAAGGCATTGAAAAATAAAAAGAAACGTTCTTTATATGTGTCATTTGTATAAATTTCACGCGTATTATGATTAAAAGATTACGTCCATTAAGAATATCATATACTTGCCATCGGGCAATATCCACTAAAGTGCCTCAACAATGTTGAGAGCCTCTGTGACGAGCGTGTTTACGATAGGATTTAAAATCGGCTCCCCATCTCGTGCCTTTCCGCCGCGGCCACGGCCAAATCCCGGCCGAAGTTTTCACTTTTATCGCTCTTATTGGGTCTTCTTTCTGGACAGACAGCGGAGTTGCCTCGCCCGTCGTGGTAACGGGGGATAGGCGAAGGGAGGGGAGCGTCATGTTTCGTGGTCCATCGTCGCGTCGGGGCGCCGGGTGTCCCGGACAGGCCTCCATCACGAGATACATGTAGGACGTATGTGTACCCTCACTTCCTGCATACGATATCAAAACATCATTAACATTCTTTTATGAATACACCGTGCATATGCAATTTCTCCTTTTTGTGCCGAGGTGCATATGTATATGTACATGTGCCCTCAATGGAATGCAAATGCTGCAAATTATCGTAAAAACGCATCGCATAATGTTTTTATTGTATGCATAAAAAATATAGCATTTCTTTCGTTTAGAAAATTAATAAATTACATAAATAGTGAAAAAAGTTTCTTTGAGAATCAAACAATTAATTTAATTTTTCTAAAAGAAAAAAATTAACTGATCTGCATCTTTTTCGTGTGTGTGTGTGTGTATTGTAATAAAGAAATAAATTTTTCTAAATTTTTAACATTTCCCAATTTCTCCTAAGGATGAAATCCGAAAAAAATGGCAGTTAAATAAGGGATAGGCCAAAAAATTTTTGACTCTATTGCAAGAAATTCTAATTTTTCCACAGATCTGTAATCCACAAATACATTGTGCCCGTGAACCTCTTGATAGCAAATTAACCAACTATGCAAAAACAAACAGCTCATAAGCAATCCGTACAAAATGTCATTTCATGTAACTCAAAATATTTGCTTGCCTCTACAAATTTCAAAGTCCTTGGTAGATATACAAACGCTGATCCTCCAATTTTTCGTAAAACTAAGCACTTTTCTGTTTTTCTTTTATCGAATATAAAATAAATACATACACATACGCGCGAGAAAAGAGATGAACTTTTAACCTAGAGGCTTATATCCAGCTTTAGGCTTGGGGAAGAACTAAACTCCATTTTGCGTATCGTGGCGTCATCTCTTCATTCAATCTTACACCACGGTGATATAATTGCGCGATATCGATAGACGGTGATGCGATCAACGTTCACTTCCGACTTGGAGACTATCGCTATCGCGTGTATTGTCAGCACTCGCTGCATCGTTGATAAAGCGCATTCTGGGTAAAATAACGTGTAATCGTGTCCTCCTCTCATTCCTCCCGTCATTGGACGACATCGTACATACATACTACGTTATGAGAGCAATGAGAAAAAAGTGAACGAGGCGAGCGAACAATGTGGTGAACGAGTCGCGGATCAGTATTGTGCGATTTGCAATTTTTGCACATCCAGGCTTCTCTTCCCACGATCGACCCGTGTAAATCGGAGCTCGCGAGCGTGATCAGTTTTCCAATTTTCGTAGTGGGATCGAAAAACGAGCGATTCACTCGTATCGTATCGTATCGCGTATTTTGCGTGTAGTCTCTGCATATCATAATTCGCTGCTGTACTCGTGTACATACTTACGCTGAAATCTCGAAGTTTCTACATTTAGCCTGCGACGCGGCACGCCGACGACGATGATCGACCTAACAGTCAAGACCTTGGATTCGCAGAATCACGTCTTCTCCCTCGAAGACGACGTAAGTACCGCACTCTTGTTCACATGTCGCGAATAAACAAATGCCATTATTATTCTTTGTTTATGATTCGTCCAAATCTCCCGATGGATATAAAAAAAAATTGTATCGGTATAAATACATTTAAAATATTATTTAAAGTGAAATAAAATATTATTTTTACAAATCATAAAATTATATTGAGAAATCTGATATAATAATATTTAGAAAATATATACAGCTTATGCTGCTTATGTGCTTGTATTAAGCGTATTATCTCCCATAAGTTTTTTTTTTTTACACTTGTACACGTTTCATTATATAATATATCTTTGCAATTCTCCTTAAAGCAAATCACAGTGCGTGGCTTTAAAGAACATATAGCAGAATCCGTTGCGGTACCAGCCGATTCGCAGAGGTTGATTTATTGCGGACGAGTGCTTCAAGATGACAAGAAATTAAATGATTATGGTACATATATACATATTTGCTTATGTGCAATAAATTACTTGTTACAAGAATAATATAATATGATTATCATGTATATTGATATAATGTAATTCTTCAGATGTCAATGGAAAAGTCATACATTTGGTGCAACGCGCGCCACCCCAACCGGGTCAACACGGCAATGATGGTGGGCAGACACAGGGGCAAAACAGACCAGGCTGGCAGAATTCGCAGAGATCGCATTACCGTGTCACACGCACTCAGATGCATGGGAATGCAATGTATCTGGGTGCCATGTCAGTGCCGGCGGAGATTGTAGAGGGACATGGTAACATTCTAGTTTTTACTAAATTCTGTCATATGCTAGTCAGTTTCCTTAATACATCCATTGTTTAATTGTTCCTCAGGGATACCACAATTGAGCAACAGCTTATCAGGCAGCCGCTTGAATCATGCAGGTCGCATGCTTGATCGCATAAATGAGTTGATTGATCGGTTAGATGATCCCAGTGCTCCTCTGCATCCTACTCCATCGGAACTTAATCAATCGACGGCACAGCAACAGCAACAATCGCAAGAACCAGAAGTGGAGCAAAATGAGTAAGTTAAATATACATTCAGATTGTTAGATGGATTTCTCTGTGTAGTGTAACAGTAATTTGTACTTTTTAATAACTTCTACAGGAACAGTGATGCCTCGAGAGATGACAGTGGTACCAGACTCGCAGAAGCAGCTGCAGCCGCCATTACGGCCGCGTTATCCGCGGCTGGTGCGCGCGCGGTCACATTGTTCAGAGGTTGGTACATTCGCGAATCCAATTTGATTCAGAGATGTGATTTTATATGTTGCATTAACTGCTCAATAATACATAGGAAGCAATTATAATGGTGGAAGTACGAGATCTACGAGCGATACAAATGAAAATCAAAGTGATGCACAACCACAATCGCAGTCACAATCGCAGTCACAATCGCAATCACAATCGCAATCACAATCGCAATCGAATCCACAGACACAAATGCCGCAGCAGCAGCAACAACAAGGACAAGCAACTACAGACACGGGGGCCGCATCGAGTAACGCTGGACAAAACAGGCGTGTTCAGCAGCAAGAGTATATATCTCAGTTTAAATATTTCATGTTAATGAAATGATAATTAGCGTGGATGGATTTTACTGTTAATTATTTTGTTTTTAGCCTTCCGCGACCTCCGCAAATGGCAGAATTATTGCAGAGACTGAATAACACTCAAGAACGGTTGAGACCGTATTTGGAACGTTACTGCATGCTCACGCTTCTCGATCCTTTATTGCCGCCTGGGGTAAGTCAATTAAAAGCCTCCGCATCGATCGTCAAACCCAAGTCAATTGAAATTTTGCTTTTATAAAGGCAATTTAATTATTGTTTAGCCCGGGCCAAACACTGTAGAAGACAATCAGAGAATAGTGGACGGGGTCAGCGAAATTTTGCACCTTATGTCTCACAGTTGTCACGCTCTAAGCGACATTATCATCGACATGAGTCAACCGCCACCCAGAAATTTGCGCTGCCGACCGATAATAGTACAGCATTCGGCTATCTTACAGCCTGGTATACCGATCCAAGTAGAAGTGAGCATATTGATAAAAAAATAGAAAAATAACCGTAGGTATATCTGTTGACATAAGTAATATTGTTACAATCCATCTTTTTTTATCTTCTACAGGCTCACATTAGTTTGAATGGTCGTAGCGCTAATAATAATAACAGTAACGATGAGTCGACCGAATCCGGTAGTCAGCAGACGCAATCGGACAACGCAGAATCAGCAACATCGTCGCGCGTTAATACAGAGGAAGGCAGTCAGGAACGAGAATCCGATAATACGCAATCGCAAGGAGAACGGTCGCAACAAGAGCAAAGCCAATCGCCTTTCGGTACATTTTATATTTTAATACGATTCTATAAAAATGTTAAACAAATATGTCGAAACATGCGTTCGTTTTTCCAGATACGGTATTCAATTTACCGAACAATGTCGAAGTATTGATGGAGGTTAGTTCCGAGAGTAATATAGATGGTGGATCTGGCAATGAACAGAACACGGCAGGCAATGAAAACAACAACAATGGTAACACCCGTAAGTTAATAGTATATGTTAATGCATCTTGTGTGCGAAAAGAACAATTTTGCGCCGTTGTGTGTTTTCTATTTTGCAGGCAGGACAAATGTATTTCCGTTCGGCTCAGGTCCGCCGCCGTATTTCATGCGAAACTTTATGCAAGCTGTTGCCGGACATATGGTGCATGGTGGTATCACTACCACGACTATAAGTTCGAGAAATCCACCCGTTACTACTGTTGGAACGCAACAGAGCGTCTCTACTTCGATGGACAGCGGAAATACGAATACCGGTCAAAGCACTCAAGCACGGTATAATAACATCGGCTATAATATTATCGTAATGCTATAAAATCACCTCATAGTTATATCATATGAGAGAACAATATTAAAAGAACAAATATTCTACACATACAAATATGTACGATATGCGGTATAAATTATAAAAATTCTATAATATAGGAGCAATACTGGTACTCATCCTACTACCGCCACGCAGACTCGAAGTACGTCGCGGCCGCACGTGTTTCATCATCACGCGCATCCCGTTGGTCTCGGTATGAGCATCGGACTAGGTCTCGATTTCGATCCCTATCTTCCGTGTAATTCTCATCATGTATATCGTACTCCAACGAGCACCGCGTCCAGTACTACGAGTGGCGTGACAACCTCTTCGCAAACAACGCGCACAGCATCAGCAGCCACGGCGGACGCTCAGAATCAAACGAATCAAATCGGTAGATACGAATAGAAATTTTTTTTCGTATAAACTTATAAATAAGAGAAGATGCGTTTTTCTATACAAATTAAAAAAATATTTTCCAGCGACAACTTCGGCTACAACTAGCAGTGCCCCTCCAACAAACGCAACATCGACGGCAAATGCCGAGACGGCTAGCAATAATCCTTTCGTAAACTTATTGCAACAGATATTAAGTCAGTCGACAGTCGGTCAATCACAACCCAACATCAGCATCAATAGTAACGGTAATAAATCTAAAAGAATGAATCTAGAATATAGAGAGAGAGTAACGGACGAGATATTTACTTCGATATCGACATTGATTATATTGCAGCTCCAAATTTGGTAGAAAATCTCGGTAACATAATGCAGATGCTCGGTAGCAATATACATGTGGGATTCGTGAGCGACAGGTATGTCTAATGTCGATAAAAAAATTCAAGAAAGAATCGTTAATTACATAATACTAATTGCATAATTCTTTTAATAATCAGTTCGAACGGAAGTGCTCTGACTTTAGCCGATTTGTTCGAGGGTGGAGGTCTATCTATGGATCTTTTCACGTCACACGAATCCGGCAGAGAAGAAAACTTCCTCATCGATCTCTTCGTATTGCTGGTAATTCGTCACTAAATTATATTTGCGCGTATCTATTACGCAATACGAGATGATTTGTTTTGGTATTAAAAAAAAACTGTATATAGGCACAAACTATGACTCTGGATGGGTTGATCAGGCTACGTCTTGGTCAATGGGAGCCCATCGCTCGTCTTCGAAGACCACTACAAGAGTTCCTACAGTACACGTTTTCGGACGCCTCGTCACCGGATATTCTTCAAGAACAAACGATCGAGCGTCTACTTTCTCAACTACGACCTCAGATCCGGAATCTTTTGGCATCCGAGGAAGACGCCAGCGGCAGGAGCGGCTCTCGCGTTGACATATGCGCGACTATCGAATCATTGATAACTCGCCATGCGAGAGATATACTTAGGAACTTATTCGACAACGGTTAGTATTTTAATTGAAATATGTACCATAAAA